CTATAATTTTCATTTTATACAACATTTTCTGTACATGGCCTGTATTCGAGAAATTTCACAAAATGTAAAAAAATCATTTTGAAGCAAATTATTCAAATAAAATTTGTTTTCGATATTATTCTATATAATTCCTGTTTTACATAATTTATCTAAATTGACCGTATTTAACAAAAAGTGTAAATTTCGAATTTTGAAGAAAACTCAAAAACGGATAAATAGAAAAACACGAAATTTAGATTATATAGGCTTCAATCCATTCTGGGGTAAAATTATTAAATTTTTGGGCATAGTCAGAAAATCTGGTCGTTTTCATACTTTATGGAATATATCTGTTATTTACGCTGGAAGAAGAAAACATTTTTTTTAAAGTTGTTTGTAATGTGTGTCTATTATTTTTGTTATATACATAATTTTCTTAAAATGGTCCGTATTCGAGAAATTTGACAAAAAGTGCATTATTCGAATTTTTAGGAAAATTTTTCAAATAAAAGTTTGTTTGCGATATCGTTTTCTATAATGTTTGATTTACACGTAATTTCTTTAAAATGGATCGTAATGAAACAATTTGAGCAAATGTGTAAAATTTTAATTTTTCAGTTGGCAATGAATATATATAAAAAATGTTTCGAGTACAAAATAACCGGTAAAAGTCTGTAATAACTAGACCGCAGATACATCAGATTTTTTGAAATTGTCTTTTTAGCCGATTGATGAGCATACATTAAAATGCAAACGTGCCCAGCCAATGAGATTGCGTTGGCATTAGCCAGGGCGTGGCCTATGTACCGCCAAATTCAAAATTATGTAGTAATGCGGAATTTTTGTTTTAAGAAAATATTTTTAAGAAGGTTTTGTTATATAAATTTAAGATGAAAAAAGCTGCATTGCATACATAAAGTAAATTAAATAGTGCGTTTATAAAGTGTGGAAACGATCCATTGTCTTAGGAGATGTGACCTCCGAAAGTAATAAACTCTTAAGAGAATGGAGAATTTATATACTTTATAAACGCACTGTATATAATAAAATGTGATTATTAGAATTATTAATTAATATCTTATAATATCTACAATAGGGCATATAATTACTAGGTTTATTTAAAACATTTAAATATAAATGTATTAAAATTAATAATTTTTAATAAGAAGTATTGTAAGATGGAAATTTCTTCGGTTTGTTGCATGTGTACCATCAATAAAAGTAATCCTTTTAAAGTCTCTTTTTCATAACACCGTTCATATAACCCACTGCAAAATCTTCATCCTGTAATCCAGGGTAACTTTCTCCTGAAAATAAAAACCTAACCCTATAAAAATTGGTTATTTTAAATGTATTTTTATGTACATAGCTCCAATTCTTTTAAAAAAATGCATGATTTTTCCTTGTGTAATCCATTATTCAATTTTCATAGTAATAGCTGCCACATCGTCAACGTTAATTTTTTTGGCAATATTATACTTCCTTAATAAATATGCCAAGTCTTTACTTGTTATCAAGTTTATTCTTTCTATTGTATTATTTTGAATTATCTTGTTTGTAGATGTACTTGATAATCCAATACCACAAAATTCAAAAATCACATTTTGATGGCTACAAAATAAACATAAGATTTATATTATAACTTTAATGTTCTTATCCTGAAAGTGCCATAATATAAAAAAACCCCCTGTGATTCCGTATTTTCTTGTCAGCTGCTAAATATTGTTTAGTTTATGTTCAAAATTAAAAATGCTGAAAAGTTAGGTAAATTAATTAGTGAATTTCAAAACCACTATAAAACTAACCCAAAGATAACAGGAGATGTAACTACTAACAAATATCGTGCGGTCATGAATAAGACATACCTACTCTAAGGAGCACAGGAGGGTATAATATCCACTGTTGTCATATGCCTATGTCATTATTCTCGTTCTGTTTGCAAAATTATTTACATATATTAAAAAACCTAAAATAATTCAACCTATTTCACTACATGATACGTAATAATTTTTAGTAAATTCCAAATCCTAGTCATTTTAGGTTGGACGTGGCAACAGGACTTACACCGGCATAGATATTTACGTTGTTTATTAGAAGCGCATAACGACTTACACATTTATTCATTGATAAAAAAAGTTGTATCTGCAAAGATTATTTTCTTTATTTCCTCTCTTACTTCTTACCTCTTCTTACCGTGTCTCTACAAATATATTGTATTGATTGTCGAATTAATCTTGGCATCGTGAATATTATATTTAATGGTTATATCTCTGTTATTTCTGAACTAACCCAAATCAGATGTAGTAAATATTAAAATTATCAATTCAAATTGTTATTGTATTTCTTTTTTTTTACTCTAATATGCACTCGACAAAATTATACAAACTATAAGATGTATTACAGATTTGGAATATCGCTAATAAGCGAATATTACCAAACCAACGAAAACTGAAATTCTGAAATCAAAGTCTCTAACGAAATATGAACTGACACAATACTAAACGAAAAATCATTCGATCGAATAGAGCATTATGAATTCTGATTGGCTGGGCATGTTTGCATTTTAATGTATGCTCGATTTCGATGATGTTAGTATACAGTGAGCATCTTAAGTCTTACCCCCCTAACTAACTCGTTACTGGGGTCTTGTTAGGAAAATCGCCGAGACAGGTCGATTTTTAATTTTTACAATGTACATTTTTGCATGATTAGTTAACCCTTAATTTCATCCCTTACTGGAGGGTAAATAACCTTTCGAAAAATTTTAATAGCATGGGGTGGTGAATGATAGCTCATTTGAAAGGGGGTTTTATTCTCTATTCAACCGTGCAAAAAAATTTTGGAATTTGCATTATTACATGTTGATTTATTAATGTTTAAAAATAACAAAACCTCACAAAATAGGAAAGCAACTAGACTAACAGTGACCTTCTAATGGCAAAAAGTCTTACTTCACGTCTGAACCAAAACCAAAGTCATGCAGGGCCGAATTTTAATTCTAAGGATGAGTGCGCTACGTTAATTTCCGTTATTCTGAAACAACAATAAGTCGAGAATTAATGAAGCAAATTTCAAATTTTTTTACACGGTTGAATAGAGAATAAAACACTCTTTCAAATGAGCTATCACTCACCACCCCATGCCATTTAAATTTTTCGAAAGGGTTGCTCCCCTCCAGTAAGGGATGAAATTAAGGGTAAACTATTCATACAAAAATGTACACTGTAGAAATCAAAAATCGACCTGTCTCGGCGATTTTCCTACTAGACTCCAGTAACGAGTTAGATAGGGGGGGTAAGACTTATGATGCTCACTGTATATACTATTTGCCTGCTTTTCTACAATTTACTGTGTGCATGTATCACTTAATTTGGTTATTCTATTATTATTTACTTGACTAACTGTTTATTTATAGAAATAAATATTATAAGGTTGTAATAGAAATTATAAAACTTATTTCATTGCTCTACGCATAAAAGCGAAGCTATTCAAGTCTTTAAACTATTGTTAACATGTGATTGCTTTTCAATCGACCTAAAATTAATTATATTTATTTATAATAATAATGAACCTTTATAATTACTCACTTAATCGTAAACTGGTTGTGCCTAATTATTTGTAAATATAAAATATATCTATTCTCACCACCTACTAGAAAATATTCCGCCATACTTTTGTTTTCCCGATTTTCTTTCAAAAGGCAACCCAAAAACTTTCCTTTTGACTTTTTACTGTTTGATTGTTTGTTTAATTTTTATATTTCTTATTAAATATTTTACAGTTTGCAATCCATTGACTCCATGACTCTCCATTTAGGTATGCCTGATGAAGAAGTAATTATTACTTCAAAACCGATCGCCTATTACAATCGCTTTAAGAAATAAAGGACGTTTTTCTTCATACCTTCGTACTCACATAAAAAAGTAACTACATTTTTTGTTCTTGCCTAAATGCAGTAGCGTGAGGTAACATTTTTGGAAGGGGAAGCGATTGTATAAAAATACAGGCCAGTAAGCACAGTGCCACAGGCGAAAATTTTTCGCGGCGCATTCACCATTTGTCAAAATCTTGCTTTTTTTCCTCAGTACTACGGATATTCGAGATTGAGATTTTTGAAGTGTTACTATTACTTTATTACCTAGTTTAGTACTAAAAGCTATAAAAAACTTACCATTTAAAAGCTTCCTAGGTTTATTTAAACGTAAAAAAAAACATTTATCTAAAGTTTTTTTTTTTATTTTTTCCAGCATTTTTCGCACAGTTGACACAGCAGTTGACATTTATTTATACTTTAGATCTATACACATATCCTCAATGGCTGCAAATTTGTCTATAACATCGTCGTAAAATTTTGGATTTTCTGATAACTGTTTAACAAGATGTTTTTCAATGGATATTAGGGCTAAATTAGAGAGTATGTCTTCACTTGTTGAATTTTGTATAATTTAAATGCGCTTTAAAGCTGAAAAACTTCGCTCAACTGACGCACTTGTGGCTAGGATGGTTGGAACTTGACGACTTCACAAATGGACTTATTTAAACCAGTTGCTATAAGAAAATTTAATAACACATTGATGGGCGTCTTTTTATCACTAATTTCAGTTGTTTCATAAACAACACTTCACTGGGACTTTATTGCTAAAATATCGAAAAAAATTCCATAATTTAATTTTAGTAAATTAAAAGCTTCTGATGGAAATTTTGATGAATCGTAGTTACTAATATTAAAATTGCACAATTCAACCAATTTTAATTCGTTAAAGTTTTGAAATCGTGAGTTCAGTTGTTGTAAAATATTATCAAAAATTTCGGCGTATAATCGACGATAGGAAGTCTCTCTGTTGCCAACATTATCAATTCTAATTCTCTTTCATTCTGGTTCTAAGCCAGTGTTTTGAGTCTTATTCCAAAAGTTTTTAAACTGATCTCGTTTTTTAATCATTTTATTTTTAAAATCCTCAATTTGTTTAATGCAAAAGCCAATGTCATTTGACTTTGTCTATAAAATGTCGAATAAAATGTCAGTGAAAGGGAAAATCTCTGCAAAAATCAAAGTTTTGTTTGAGCCAATGCAAATACCCTTTAGCAGCAGTAACAGTTTCAGCATCCCATGTTCCTTTATTATCCCAAACGTCTTGAAAAAAGTGTATCAAAGAACCACGGTATAGAAACACTATTTGCCCTAAACGTCCATTGTAGTTCCATCGCGTCGGAGCAACTATTGGAAACGTTTTTTGATCGTGAATGTCCAAAGCGCGAGTTCTTTTCGATGACTTTAAAAAGAAGGAAGCCAATCCACTAAGCGTCGAAAACAAATCTTTGCAATCTTTAATATTATCCATTCTTCGCGATAAAACCAAATTAAGTCTATGTGCTCTACAGTGAACGAAAATTGCATGATTGAACTTCTCTTTCATTTTAGCTTGAAGGCCTCCTAAATGGCCAGTCATTACGGCAGCACCATCGTAGCTCTGAACAACAAGCTTAGAACTACATTCTAAACTTGAAATAATGTCACAAACAATTTTAAACAATGCATCTGCAGTTCGTTCGCTAGTGACGTCCAAAAATCCTAAGCATCGCTCTTGAGGAATGCCATCCAATACATATCGCACAACAATGGATAATTAACTAAAGTTTGCTACATCTGTGGTTTCATCAAGTGCAATTGATATGAAAGGTGCTTTTTTAATTTCACTTTTAATGTGATATATCACAACGTCGGCAGTGCATTTAATTAAATCATTTTGGATTCTGTTTGAGGTACCTCGAAAAGTTGTTGAATCAATAAAATTATTTTTTAGGGTATCATCGTATTTTGCTAAAAAAACTTAGAAAGTCCATGTAATTTCCTCGAATGGCGGATCCACTTGCTTCATTGTGATCCATAAAACTTAGTTCATGCTCTCCCAGGACACAAGTTACATCTATTAATCGTTGTAAGACGTCCCTATTTTTTTTTTTAACCTTTCATAGTGAATTTTGTTGCTTATTTTTAAATGGTTGTCCAAACTATGTTCAACGCGATAGGTCCCGAATGTTTTTTCATTAATGGTAGCACTTATATGAGATTTGCTATTTACAAGTCGTTTTACACTTTTGTGAAAATTATTCAAGTCTGTAATACCGACTGAGTTCCAATGTGTTTTTTCGGCTATATTAAAAAGTAGGCCAGCAAAACAATTTCTTCAAAGTTTTGCAGCCGGTTAACCATTCATACTTTTCATAGAACCCTACGTGAAAATGCCTGATAAATTTGTTTGCTGACTTCTCTACTTTCGTCTCTAAATTGATAGGATCCTTTAGTCTACTAGAATTAATAATGTCCGTTTTCTCTTCAAAATTTCTACTTGAAAATCCTTTTTTCAATAAAGAGCACACAATACAGGCACAATTTACCACATTATTATTGTTCACGGGCACAGTGCATAGTTCCTTCATTTTACAAAAAGAAAAACAACTACGAAAAACAAACCGAAATCTATCTGAAGTCTACGATTTTCCTCACACATCGATTCGCGGTGGGAATTGCAATATGTGTAAGGCGACGTAAAAATCGCTACCTCTCGACCATATTTCACGTGTACAAACAGACTGACTACTTTCGCGGCAAAGCGGGTCAATAACACGAAGCGAAATCAATTGGAAGATGAGCCGGTTTTTTTCAGACGCGCTTCCGCCGACTGACTTGAAGTATATGGTGTGTGCGTTTACACAATTAATTTTCTTATGGGTGGTGCGTGCGTTTACACATTACACCAATGAATTGTTAGTACATTTACGAAGTTTACGTAATGTTTCAGAGAAAATATAGTACCTAATTTAATATTAATTTCTATGCATTGTAAACTGAATAATATTTATTTTTAAATCTCAAAGTGTAGGGAAGCGGTGTTTCCCCCGCTTCCATGGACCGCACGCCCCTGCCTAAATGTAAAAGTATTCAATAGTAGATAAATAAAAACCTACTTAAAAAGAAGATAGCATGTTTATATGGACTACATATTTTTAAATATTTCTAGTCCAGGTGTGCAAAATAAATTGGTTTTATTAGATTGTACTTTTCTAATATCATCTTTAGTTCATAAGATGTAACCATCATTGTAACTTTTTAAATTGTTGCCCTGAATTATGTATAAAATAAATGTCTTGAAAAACTTACTAGCTACCTAAACAATTTTAAAGCTGTATCTATTTTTATGGGCCATAAAACGATATTTAAACTCGCCGAGACAAACGTGATATTTTAAATTTTATCTTACCTTCGTTCCGTCGAGAGCGCAGTTAGAATAGATACACACTTTTAAGTATTTGGCTCAAGATTCCTAACAATATATTTTATTAAAAGATATTTCTGAAATCTAAAATACGAAATTTTTGGACTTGGGCCAAAGGTGTGTGTGATTATATAGCAAATAAATGTGAACATGATAAATTATACAAAGTTTATTAAGGGAAATTAAATTTAAATAAAGGTCTATACCTATTTTTATTTATAAAAATTACTATTATTACTATTATAGGAAGAATAAATATTGAATTTTTCCTGATTTTTTATAACTAAAAACAAATAGAAAATATTAGGGATATTCACAAAAAATGTTTCTATAGTAGATCGTGAATAATAAAGACAGATACGAGCCTTATTCGTGATAACTACGTCTTTGGATTAAATCCAAATTGTCATTTAAAAAAAAAGAAAAATTTGCTCCAACATACGTGATTTTTTCCATGGCCACCTTAGAATATTTCTAATTTTGACATATAAAGTAACATCTGCTGTAATCGTAGCAAGTGTTAAATTGGTCTACTTTATGCAACCAGTATGAACACTAGAGAGGAGGCGAATTGGTATACCAGAAATACGGTCATAAAAAACGAACGCTAATTGTACTTTTAGAATTCATTGCAGGGGCGCTGGTGTTGCTAGTGATGTTAAAAATACATGGTTTACATAATTTAGTGAAACTAATTAGAATTAACTTATTTATTGCTAAATAAAGCACAGAAAATACTGTTGCATTTATTTCTAAATAAGTCTTATATGTTTTAATTGATAAATTATTTAATTTTATCTATATTAAATGCAAATTATATATGAACAAAATCAAAAAGGTTGGTTGAATGGTGAAATTTGGTAAGTGCAATTCTGTGGCTAATTTTTTTTTAATTATTTTTATATATAGTGTTAAGAGCAAAATAAAACGCATTTAACAGATTTTTTATTGTTATAACTTAAGTATAAAGGGAGATTCGGGAATATACATGGTATTGCCTCATATCCTTTAATTTTGGCCTGTCTCTTTTTATTTTGCTAACAATACCATCAGTAAAAATAGTCTTATAATATTTTGGAAATAATTTTTTAAAAAGTGTAGCTCGGAAAACAGTATAATGTTTAGAAAGTGCTTTATCCAGCCATAGGAATTATATACTGCCACTGTTCTAAAGGATCCTATAAAAAACATTTACAGTGACAAAATTGGAGTACAACGAAAAAATAACAGTAGTAACTCTTTATCTAACATTAAAGCACTAAAAAAAACCAAATGTTCTTTTCTACTAAGTTAAATTTAATGTGTAATTATTATTGTTTGTAAGTGAGGAATTATAGAAATAGTAAAATAGGAATTATAGAAATAGTAAAGAAAAATCTTTGTGAGGCGTTAGTATTATCTAAACTTAATTTCTGTGATAGCGTATATGGTCCGAATATTAATAACCAGGATACACGAAAAATTCAAGTATTACAAAATTCTTGTGTCAGATTGATTTGTGGGATACGCCGCCGACAACCTATTTCCAATAAATTAAATCAATTATCCTGGTTGAACATGTCTAATCTTAGGCAGCATCACTCCTTGTGTCTATTTCATAAAATAATAATAAACAAATGCCCATTATATTTGTTTAACAAAATAATATACCGTCATAACATACATAATCTAAATACAAGACATAGGTTCAGACTTAATATACCCTATCACAGAACCGAAACTTTCAAGCATTCTTTCAGTTATCAAATAGTCAATGCATACAACTCCTTACCAGATTCACTTAAAACTCTACCAATGAGCACATTTAAGGTCAAAGTTCGTAATTTACTATTTTCTAAGCAATTATTACGTACCTAGGTTCTTTGTGTTTATTGTTATTTGCAGTTAGTAAATGCAATTCAGGCTTTTGGAAATTTATTTACTTTTATTTGCTTTTTACATTTTTTGTTGTTTTTTTTTTTCAAGGTTAGGTTGAAAAATAGAGGGTGAGCTATGCTTATGTTTAGTATAACTCACTCAGCTGACACCTCGCCTTTTTTTCACAACATTATTAAATATGTATTTTTAGAATATTGTAAATATACTTTAATTTTGTTTTATGATGTGAAAATAAAGACATTATTATTATTGTTATTATTAATATTTGATATTGTAGAAACTGGTAATAATAGAAGTTTGTGCAAGAAGAGTGATGAACAATCCACTCGAGTTGTACATTATATTGTTTTTACGATCCACTAAAGAAAATCTATAATTAAAAATTATATTAAGTTATTTAAGATAAAATAATTAATTTAAAAATAATTTATGACTTCTTTTATTAATTTATAAAATAAAATAAACAAGAAAAAAAAAGTTAATAGTCGTAATTAAATTGACTTCATATAGTTTTATTTAAATTGACAAATTATCTTTAATTATAGATGAAATAAAAATAGAAATGCTATTATTTATCGATTCTACACAAGAATAACCCATTTTAGTGTATGTTTAATCTCAATAACTAAAAAATATACTTACAATTAGCTTGACAGAATTGTCACTTATTTAAAATTTTAAAAATAATAGCAGTCAGTTGATCAAAATATGAACTGTGATTGGTAGAATTCATGTTTTTGAAATATATTCGTTCAGTTGAAGACAATAGCACACTTTTTCGTTTTGTAATCTGTGCGTTGATATACTAGTATCCATGTGGGCAGAGATTAGGGACACAAAGATTGGAAACGCAACGACCGCAGTAACGGTGGCGTTATCTAGCGTCTCAGATGTTAACTACAGGTCTACGTCGTTTGTAGAGAGACCAGTGTTGTCAAATATTTTTTTTTGAGAGATCTTACAAGTATAGTAGAAAAATAGTATTTCGACAAAAAAATGTACAATAGATACATGCATAGCATAATATAACTTAAATGGAATGACAAAAAAAACTTTGTCATGATAATTTATTTATCTATTTATAAAAATGTTTACAACGAAAAAAAAAACTAAAGAAACTACATGAAACTTTAAATTAACACATTTAAAGTAATCAATGACTGTCACTTGAAAGTGATTAAAATTTTGCATGCTAGCTCTTCTTATGCCGTGATAGTCGGTGTACAAAATCACGATAAGTCAGAAGGAAAATGACTGCTTGCAGAAATTACGAACGGCCTATGAATCTTTGCAAG